TCTAGTCATGATCTATCCTCCATATCTTGACGACTTTTAAATTTATTGAAGTCATTTCAATTTTCTTCAATCCCTTTTCGTTTGTGGGTCATCTACTAGGGTGTTTCAACATGGGCTTCAATAACCCTTCTGATTCCGTCCGAGAGATCAATAATCTCTGTTATGATTTGTTGGGTTTAATGATCTCTGAGACTGTATGGATGATGTCTTAATGAAAAGGAGCATCTCCTTCTTTAACATGTTATCAGACAACAAGGCCTGAGAGACTAGCAGTTAGGAAAGATTTAGCAATTGGCTCTGAGAAATTACCTGCAGAATGTGAAGTATTAGTGTGTGAATCTGATACAAGCATGATGTGGGTTATTATCTGATATTCTCTAGGTTTATAGATTTTGTGCTGTGCTTTTCAATAAAGGTTGTAAGAGAAAGCAGGGGAGACAGGATGCGAGTAAGATTAGGAGATTGTTTTTTGTGCTTAACAGAAGCTGCAGAGAACTTTGCCTGTGTGCTGAGTGAGAGGAGGAGGATCCTGAGCTGTGACGTCATGCCTTGTTGGGGATTGCTGTGATCCAGCCGAGGGGGAAACTCTGTTAGTTTCAGGAGTTTCCTCCTCAGCTTTCCTCATCTCCCTGAGGATCACCCGGGCTGTTGCCTCTCCTCTGGTTGCTTTTGGGAGTGTTAGGTCCCGACCGTCGCTGTTGCATGTGTGGTGCTGGTACTGATGTGTACAGCAGAGCTGTGTGGTTTATGCAGCCATTCAGGAATTCCGCTCCTCCCATGCCCCCGCCTACTTTCTCTAAACGGAGGATGCAAGAGCCAAAAACATTTGTGAAGTTTTTGTCAGGTTTTTATTGCGATCACTGACAAGGGATATTCTGTCTCACTATCTGTACCATCACCAAACACCAAGAAAGGGGCAGAAAACTAAAATGTTGCAGGTGCTGGCAGGAGGAGTAATGGAAAATCTTCATGGGGAGAGACCTGTTTTTTAAAAAGTGGCACATCACTGTATTTTAAGCGTGATTTTCCTTATAGGAACCAACACAAGTCAGCAGGATATAAAAACCTGAGGTTTTTTTTTCCATCCCCACTCCATACAAAAATTAAACAAAAAAACAAAAATGTATTGGAGTTGTACTTAAATTAGAGAAAACAGAAATATTTCTAAAGTGTAACTATGACCAAAATTTTGCATTCATGCTCCCTTGCACTCAAGCAGGTGACCCTTAAACTGTTAATAGCCACAGGCCTAGATATCGAGGCACCTGGCTGAAGATATTTGAAGTTATATGTGCTAAGGCTTTGCCATGTCTATCTTGTACAGATTCTAGTGGTCGTGTATGTACAGGTAGCAGCTATGTGCAACATAAATAGGTTTTACTTTTTTTTACCAATGTGATCCCACCGCAAATCATGAATAGTGGGTGATTATCAATGGTATTAAGACAAAGTAAAGGTTTGCGATGGTGTCATAACTGGCCCAAACTGGTCCACAGTATTTGAACTTGCTCTTCAGAAACAGTGTATTCGAAGCCAGAACTTCAGTTTAAAAAAACTAAAGGCAAAAACCTTTTTTTTTTTTTTTTTTGGATAGAGTGGAAACTGGATTAAAGAAACCAATTAGGTTTTTATGGCCCATCTGCACTATGGTTAGGGAGCTTCACCTTTTTCTAATATGTCCTGTTTACCATATTATCATCTACCTTCATCGTCATCTCAGCACAAGGTTTTTTCAGTGTTAATTTGTGTAAGCTACCCACTTGAAAAGCCACTGGTTTTTTGTCCCCCTATTTTCCTGCAAAGCCAGGCAACACACATCTTCCAACTTTTTTTCCGAGACAAAGAAAAATAGTCCATGGGCTTGTGTTTTTTTTGTATTTTTTAGTGGGATTTCATCTTGGACAGATATTTGACTGTGTTGCAGCAGGAATAGCAATAGTCTTTAGAAAAGTAATCTCCTTTAAGGAACTTGGTGTCCTCTGAATAGATTTTCAGCAAAGTCTCAAACTGTAGAAGCTCTTAGTCCCCTTAGTGAACAAAATACCAGTTTACCTGGCTACGGTATCTGACCCAGGACAAGGGGTTGGTAAGCATTAGTCCTGTCCCTGAAGACTTTCCAGGAACTTACTTCTAGTAGACTTCTCCCTTATAGGCCCTGAGGGTGTAGAGGTATTCACAATGTCCCTTGTTCTGCTGCTATGGATATACCTGCCTTCTTCCCTTCCGTTGGGATTTTTTTCTTACAGGCTATGAAGGCTGTCCTTCCCCAGAGGATTGAAAGGGCAGTGGAGCTCCCTTCTTCAGCCTTTCTTCTTCCTCCAACCTCCTGCCTGGAGATAGAGCCCCTTTCACAGGGCCCTCCTCCCAGGCTACACAGCAGCACTTCAATTCTCCATCTTCCACCTGGCCAGGTTTTGTCATATTTATGGGCTGGTCTGCCACACTGCCAGGCCTCCTGCCTCGGATTATCAGACTCCAATAAATATGCAGATCAGCTCTCCTCCTCACCTCTGGTCAAACACAGTGTCCCCCGTCATTTCTTGGTGGCAGCAATGAGGGCCTAAAACTCTTTGGGATTCAATCTATACCTAAGTCTCTTCCAGAGGGAGACTTTTTGGAATTTTACTCTCAGTACCATGTCTTTTGAGGAACTTAATGAAGAATTAGAAATAAATACATTAATATATCGCCACTATTAATTAAGTGTTTTTTATGTTGCCCTTATTGGCATATTCAAGTATAGTAGGATTCAGAATGACCAGACCTATCAGCCAAGGTCTGGTTAAATGCGTTACTACTACCATTATTATTCCTAATCATATGCAGCAATTTGGGATACACATACTACATCAGTAGAAGCTATACTAATATATAACAAATAATATATACGACGCAATATAGAACGCAATTCTTTGTTGGGAAAATACCTTAGATGTTATCCTTTAAATTACGATTTATATAGGGATAGTGCAAGTGCAAATGGATTTCTCTCTCTCTCTCTCTCTCTCTCTCTCTATATATATATATATATATATATATATTATATACTATTTTGCTAATAAGTATTGGGATGCCTGCCTTTACATGCACATGAATTTTAATGGCATCCCAGTCTTAGTACGTAGGGTTCAACATTGAGTTGGTCCACCCTTTGCAGCTATAACAGCTTCAACTCTTCTGGGAAGGCTGTCCACAAGGTTTAGGAGGGTGTCTATGGGAAGGTGGTTTAACCATTCTCCCAGAATCAGATATGTGAGGTCAGACACTGATGTCAGACAAGAAGGCCTGGCTCGCAGTCTCCACTCTAATTCACCCTAAAGGTGTTGAGGTAAGGACTCTGTTCAGGTCAGCCAAGTTCCTCCACCACAAATTCGCTCATCCATTTCTTTATGGACCTTGCTTTTTGCACTGGTGCGTAGTCATGTTGGAACAGGTAGGGGTCATCCCCAAACTGTTCCCACAAAGTTGGGAGCATGAAATTGTCCAAAATGTCTTGGTATGCTGATGACCTAAGAGTTTCCTTCATTGAAACTAAGGGGCCAAGCCCAACCCCTGAAAAACAACCCTGCACCATAATCCCCCCTCCACCAATCTTTACACTTGGCACAATGCAGTCAGGCAAGTATCGTTCTCCTGGTAACCGCGCCAAACCCAACACCTCCATTGGATTTCCAGACAGAAAAGTGTGATTGGTCACTCCAGACAACACGTCTCCACTGCTCTAGAGTCCAGTGGCAGTCTGCTTTACACCATGGCATCCAACACTTTGTATTGTGCTTGGTGATATAAGGCTTGGATGCAGCTGACTCGGCAATAGAAACCCATTCCATGAAGCTCTCTACGCACTGTTGTACTAATCTGAAGGCCACACAAAGTTTGGAGGTGTTTAGCTATTGACTCTGCAGACAGTTGGCGACTTCTGCACACTGTGTGCTTCAGCATGCTCTGACCCTGCTCTTTCATTTTATGTGGCCTACCACTTGGTGGCTGAGTTGCTGCTGTTCCCAGTTGCTTCCACTTTGTTATAATACCACTAACAGTTGAGCGTGGAATATTTAGTAGCAAGGAAATGTCACGGATGGACTTATTACACAGGTGGCAACCTATCACGGTACCACGCTTGCATTCACTGAGCCCCTGAGAGCGACCCATTCTTTCACAAATGTTTGTAGAAGCAGTCTGCATGCCTAGGTGCTTGATTTTATACACCTGTGATCCAATGATTTGAAGGGGTATTCCAATACTTTTCGCAACATAGTATATATAGACCATAAACCAAATAAATTAATCAATACTTCAAATAAAGTGCAAGTGCCATAAAGGTGACAAAACTTGTAATATAAATCTTCTTAAATTGTAAACAATCTACCACTCCACTGCAAAGCCTTTTCACTCTGTGTATAGTGCCCGTGTCCTTCTGGGTCCGAACTCACCAAATGGTGTTGACCACCCAAACTTACACTGAGATAGGTCAAAAGGGCTGGATCACAGCTCCACTGTATGTGGCGGTTTCCCAGAATCAGTATGCATACATTATCTTGTACCCATACAGGAGAGGAATCAGACAGAAAAAATCCTCATAGCATAATACTGTTTAACCACTAGCCTACAGGGCACTTATACCCCCTTCCTGCCCAGGCCAATTTCCAGCTTTCAGCACTGTTGCACGTTGAATGACAATTGTGCGGTCATGCAACACTGTACCCATATGACATTTTTATCATTTTTTTGTGACAGAGCTTTATTTTGGTGTTATTTAATCACTTCTGGGTTTTTTATTTTTTCTTAAACCAAAAACCACTGAAAATTTTGAAAAAAAAAACGTTTTTTTCTTAGTTTTTGTTATAAAGATTTTGTGTTTTTCTCCTTCACTGATGTGCGCTAATGAGGCTGCACTGATGGACACTGATAGGTGGCACTGATGGGCATTGACAGGCATCACTGATGGGCACTGAAAGGCAGCACTCATATATGGCACTGATAGGCGGCACTGACTGGCACTGATAGGCGGCACTGACTGGCACTGTTAGGTGGCACTGATAGGCAGCACTGAATGGGCACTGATAGGCGGCACTGATGCACACTGCTAGGCGGCACTGACTGGCACTGATTGGCAGCACTGATAGGTGGCACTGACTGGCATTAATAGGTGGCACTGATGGGTGACACTGAAAGGTAGCTCAGATGGGCACTGCTATGTGGCACTGATGGGCACTGACAGGTGGGCCATGGATGAGCACAGAGAGCTGGCACTGATGAACACTGACAGGTGGTGCTGCTGGGGCTACACAGATCATCAGGGCACACTGATTATCAGTGCTCTGATGATCTGTGTACATGTTCCCCTCCGGGAATGCCGATTACCAGCTCTCCTCTTCTCACGAGCTGTCAGCGTGACAGCTCGTGAGGAGGAGAGAAATACCAATAACCGGCATTTCCCTGTTTACATGTGATCAGCTGTGATTGGACACAGCGCACCACCGATCACCACGCTGCGCACAGGGTGGGACAGAAGGGCCCAGAAGCAGAGTTGGTGATGGTGGGGGCTTCTGCTGCACCGCAGCTCACCACGCGCTGTGTGCTCTGGGAGCCGCACATGCGTGGTTAGAATGGGAGGCTGTCATATGATGTCCTCCCAGAACGAGAGAACCGCCTTGAGTCCGTCATATTACTATATGGCGGGGTGGGAGGCGGTTAATTAAAACCACCATAAAAACAAACAAGATTCCACTCACAATATTTAATGCCGAACCTGTCATCCTGGAATCATCTACCAAAAGCTCTGTGGTTGATTGCCACCACGCCGACCAGCATGGGAGCCAGTGTGCTTTCCACAAGGTGGAAGTGGTGTGTGAACCAGAAGTTCCTGCTCCAATGTGTTTCATCACATCATCAAGTATTTGACCCAGAATGCCTACCAGAGTGTAGGTGTGGTATTCCAAAATCAATGATATTCACTGTATGGAAGAACTGACAGCCACTCTTCACAACTCTGAAGAACAGTTTAGAGATAAGTGGAGTCCCTGCAGATACTTCAATTTCATGACTGCCTACCTGCAGGATGTCGCCCATTCTGAGCCTACCCCAAGCTGAGTCACTTTGCAATCCAGATCCGACTCCCAGGCCTTCATTGGCAGCACCACTTTGGAGAGTGACGCGCATGTTGTTCTATTTTTATCTAATTATTTGTTAGTTCTCCTGATCCCTCCTTCCCCTTTATCATCCATCCCTTCTCTTTTGAACCATGACAATTGGTCAACTTCTCACTAACAGCGCAAGTCACATTTCCTTTTTCAGTCTTGTGGAACATAAGGGTTGTTCTGGTTCTGTCAACTTACCTGTTTTTTGATTTATGTAAAATCACTGTTTGATTAGTTCTGACCTCATTGACAGATTTTGGTTTTATTTCTTGTGGACCCCTTATCCTGTATCAATAATCTATGCAAACCTGCCAATATGAAGTTGTCAATCTTACCGGACCTTGCTTCTTACAGGGTATTTCTATACCTCCAGTATGTGATGATTTATTGCATTTTTACTGGACTGGAAGATTTTTTGTGATAGCTTGACAAGTTGTACGTGATGGTATCAAACAATTTTGAGACTAGTTTTTTGTAACACAATTCACAATTTCACATTTGCTCTTTGTTCTAACTTGATGTACATGATGAAATAGCAGAAGTGATAACACACGTGGTCTGAATAGCACCAGTTGCACAGCTCCCGATGTACACAGGACAATGTATTTTGGCATACTAACTTATGAAGGTTGGTGCTCCCTGTGACTGTTTGTGCAGCCTTATGCTGCCATCTGTTGGTGCGTTACAAAACTAGTCTTGAAACTTTTAGATAACACCTCATATTTGAGAAGCTTTGCCGCAATTAAAGAATTTTATAAAATCATACAAGTATAGATTTATTTCAATAGACTTTGTCACAGCACTTTTCGGGATTCCAGAACCTGTTCCCTTCATTAGGGCTGTAGCACACAACAAAGGAATACATATAAGAAATGTAAAAAATAGAAAAGTGTATCTGATATCTAATTTTCAACGATAGATTTAAAATGTTATAAAATAAACACTTTGTAATATTTATGAAGGGTGGGTGGAGATGGGAACTCAGATGCAGAAATCCTACAAATTAAAGACATTTAGGGAAAAAGGTAGGTGATATATATCCGCAATAATGGCTGAAAACTGAAATGAAATTTTTCAATATACAGACCATTCAACTCCTGAAAAATATATCACTCTACCAGATCCATTACTACTAGAAGGAACATGGCACCTAACTTTTCTGAACATGTTCTATTGAAATTATTATCAATCAATGTACAAAATTATCAAACAGAAGCATATATTTCATGAACTGGCTATTATGGAGAGCCATTTATGCTGCCTTCTGAATTTGGCTCAGGCATTGCAATCACAACTTCATTCTGGATCAGAAACGTCTGTGAAAATGTACAAAAGAAAAAAACACATGTGTTATTTGACATAAAAATCTGAATTAGACAACATACTTGAGAATATCACTCCATTTGGGAAGCCATTAAAATTTAATAAGCCATCGCTTTAAAAGTCTATAGTGTGGAAGCAGTCCTGCATACCAAGGATAGGTGGTCTTTTAGCTTGAACACACCTGGGCCCCAGTGCACTATATAAAGAGGAGCCCTTGGGCCTTGACCTTTGCACCCTGTGTGCAAGGATCACAATAATAAAACTATAGCATAGGTAATATCAACCACTATTTTTTCTGTGTAAAGTATAACTAAAGGCAAAACAATTTTTTTAGTTTTGGATAGAGTGCAGGGGATTAGAATGGTTGTCAGTTTTTATTGCCATCTGTGCCCCTGTTAGAGAGATTTCACCCTCTCTATTTGTCCTGTTACTATCATCGTTAAAAGTAAAAGAAAATCCCAAATGTTGGGTTGTCTCCAGATAAGTAATAGAGTCTTCCAATGGGGACACTAGTTCTGGTAATCTGGGGGTCCCCAAGAAATTCCCTTAGTTTGGCTATGGCACAGCAATTGAAGGGCAATCTCCGTAATGGGACACAGATGGTGAAAAAATAATCTGACAGGGGTGTTATACTCTACCTTGCTTTATCCAAATGAAAAAAAAAGCTGCCTATAGGTCTACTTTAACCAATAGTTTGTGTTTTTTTGTGATTAACCAACCCAGTTTGGTATTTTTTGTAACTTATTTTATTACCCTTTTGTGTCTAATAAAAGTTATTATATTGCTTACTCTGATGGTAATCTGGACATTATCTCTTCAGCTATTTTTATGATTATTTTTATAGACGTATAGCCAAATCTCCCTTTCAGAGTCTCTCTTTATTTTTTTTTTTTTTTTTTAAGTATTCCTTATGGGAGGGAATACACCCCTGTGCCTGCTTGATTCATATACTTATGATAGTTGTGACAGTATGAATGGCAAAGTGATGGATGGACGATATGTGTCACCTCGCATGAGGTCATACTGTGAGGTGTAAGGTGGAGTCCCACTCCGGGTTTTCGGGGCCACAATGGCAGAGGTGGTTCCGGACCAGAGTTTGGACTCCACTGATGACCACCAACAGGTGATATAAAAAAGGGCAGGGCTGGAGCAAGGAGTTGCTCGTGGCCTGGGACTCAGAGAGGTATTCTGAGAGAGCTGTGTGTGTGCTATACCTACAAGAAAAGGTTTGCTTTTGTTTTGTTTTGATGACAGGGAGAAGCCCGTCACCTCTGAGAGAGGAAACATCTTCTGTTTAGTTAGTGCCTGGATGGCAAGGGTTAATATTTTGGTGTTTTGTTTATTTTGATATTTTCTGCAAACCTTTTAAATAAAGCTGACAACCAGTCAGATTTTGACGAAAGCCTGCTGTGCGGTCTACCTTTTTCCCGAGGCGAAGGAGATCCCCCACCTGAGCCCTAACCCCACATATTGTTGGATTTGGCGGGCAACTTCCTTGAGCAAGTGGAAGATGGAGGAAATAATAGAG